TGGTATCTAGTTTATTTGTTTTAGTTCATTTTCAAGTCAAGTTTATTTGGATGACACTTCAGCAACAAGGCAGTTCAAAGTGCTTTACGTCATAGTTATCATTTTGACAAAAGAAATAAACCTTACATTTTGTCAAATGCCATCATCAAAATTATCAAGCAAATACACATAAAATACGTTGATCAATGTTCCACTTACTACGAATCAAAGTCAACTCTAAACAGGGTCTTTTTAGCAAGGAACTCAGTGCTTCAGGTGTTTTGCAGTTTTCTGGAAGTTTATTCCAGATTTGCTGTGCACAGAAACTGAATGCAGCTTCTCCATGTTTGGTTCTGGTTCTGTGGATGCAGAGTAGACTAGAACCAGAAGACCTTAAAGAATCACATTAAAATTTAAGATAACTGTGTAACAAAAAAGTTAATAAAACAAATAAAATTTAAACTAATTAAACACTTATTTTAGTCAAGGTCAGGAAGAATTAGATCACTGGATTAATATTCCGTCCTGTCTTGTCTTAACCATTTTTTTGATGGCGTTGAAAACTTTTAACTTTTTAACTGTCGCATCCAACAAGTTTTCAATCAGGATGAATTATTTTTAGTATTTGAATGTCACTTTAACCAAATAATTTTTAATTTATTAGGACTTGCAGCAGGGCAGGTTACCAGCAGCTCATGGTGGGGGGAGGCTGCTATTGTACATTAGCTGTTTGTTTAAAAGACGATTTGCAGTTTAACAAGTTTTACATAACTTCATTTTTATTACATTGACATTAATGTTAAAATACATCTGAATAAGCTTTTAAGTTTCAGGTTCAAATTCATGTGTTTCATGGGTTATTTTAATTAGCTGGGAACTTGTTATGTTTAGGTAGAGACACTGGATAACAAGGTGACATTCACTGGTATGATGAGCAGGTGAGATGAGATGTGTACTGGAGCTGGAACAGGAGGTGCACCCACAGGAAGCTTAGATGGACGCCGTGCCAAAAGTAATCATTGACTAATCGACTAATTGGACAAATAATCGCAGATTAGTCGACTAATAAAATAGTCATTAGTTGCAGCCCTACAACACAGCACACTCACTTTTAGACCACTATTTGCTCGTCTATTTAGAACTCATTATTTGGAGTCTTGATCAATCATCCCCACAGAATTCTGTGAAATGATACATTTTCTCAGTTGARACGTGGAAAGAAGAACAAATAATGTTGTCCCTAACTGAGCTGGAATCAAGCACATCTACAGTGCCGCTAATAAGTATTCACTCYCTTRGATGTTTTATGCTTTTWTTRCTGTTGTAGTTGAATCAKGATYAATATAAAATGGCTTTGTTCACAAACATCAAAATGGAGAAATGATCAKTGAAAAATACACAGGGACAGATACAAAAAATGTCCAAGTTGTTCCAAGAAAACCATCGTCAGGAGATGAAAGAACTATGGGGCATGTATAAATATACGAGTCTCTCCCATCTCACCTGCTGAAGCTTGTAACTCCGTCAGAGTGGTCTCATAAGTCTGCGTGGTCTCTGCTTGCACGATCACTCAGTTTGTGAGCTGTATCTAATTTCCAGAAGTTCTGGTCTGGATGGACTGTAGTCTTGTGTCTGCAGCTTAAACAGGCTGTGCCCAGGGTGGGAAGGTTTAATTAATGAACACATTCTGTACTTGTCTTTTAAACGCTGAACTAATTTATGTCATGTGATTGAACACGCTGAACCAAATATTTCCACATGCTGACGCATATCCTGCACAATCGACTGTAATTTCATTGTGCTCTGTACAAYGACAATAAAGGTCTAATCTAATCTAATTTAATGGGATAAGAAGTCTTCAGCCAGTGAATCCGTGTGTTTTGATTTTTGTTTGTTTGTTTGTTTTGACYTTTTTTCTGGAAAACTGAGAATCTACATCAACATCTTGTGTAACTCAAATGAAAAAAGGAAATCAGTTGTGCAGAAAAATATTTAAAAGATTCAAGACACTTATTGCATAAGAGCGCACACCCTTCATCTACTAACTTGTTGAACCACTTTATAATTTGAAAACAACCTTTGTTCATATTGGGAACAMAGCTGTCATTAATTAAAACCAAATTACAATGACCCAGTTTCAGAATTGRGGTCATGGATCAGTTCATCTGTTCTGGCATTGTTTTCTGTCATTTACTGTGTTACATCTTACAGTAACATACAGAGTTCACTGAGTTCATAAAAGCACCGAAAGGATATCAGTAGGTATCAGTGGTAACATGGTAACAAAAAAATTTCCCTGCTTTACAAATAAAACAAATCACAGTGATGCCATTAATCTTATGTGCAGAAATGATCAGTACTGACATTTCTGAGAACTAAATGCTCCTCTAAAATAGATAAAAAAAAGAATAGACAGAAACAGATCCAGAAGGCCAAGAACAACACTGAAGGAATTTCAGAAGCAGGAATTTCAAACAAGTATTGGTTGTGTTTTCCATGTGGCAACAATCTCTCGTGTTCTCATTGGAAATTGAGAGAAGAAAGCCTTTWCAAGCAAACAAAACAAAAAATATCATCCTGACTAATCAAGTCTGTCTAAAGTGGGAGGAGTCTATCATATGAGTTGATGAACCACATGTTGACATTTTCAAATCAA